CTACTATCTAGCCTTGAAGCATCATGGCTAATCAAAGCAAAATTTTGTGTTGGGCTGTCACATCCTCTACTTCCACCATCTTTACCATAGAATTAGATGGCTCTCTTGACATCTATATTGTAGATGATGAAAAAGGGATCGCTGACTAGGTCACTTTTAGGTTATAGTTTTCTCAAGCCTATGGGCAATCGCTCACATGGTGACCTATCTCATCACATTGAAAGCAAGCTTTGGTTATTCCGTGGCATTGACCAAAATGATTCTTACCACAAGTACCATAAGGAGGCGCAATGTGACCAAACTATATGGGACTACTATAGCTCAATTGTGCAGGAAGCTTTGAATCATTCTTCAGCATGGTGACACTTATTGAAGAGTGTCTTTGCTAACTCTTAGCCTCAAATCCTCCAATAGTCTTCGTATTAGTACTAAAAAATCTTATGGTCTTGGCCCTGTTTCCCAACTCCATAGACGCTCTCTACTCAAATACTCGTCTCTATTACACACATAGCATCTATTACCTTAACATAATTATATTTCCCCATGTAGGGAGTTAAGACCCGAAACAAGGGTTCTACTAGTCCATGGATAAATCTCTTGGCCCTCACCTTCTCATCTGTCACTAGGTGTGGAGCATATCAGGAATGGCAAGTAAATCAAGCATTGTAGTTAGAAACTGTTATATCTAGTCTTTATCTACGGCGTTCAAACTTTGTTACTAACTCGTCTCTCTTATTTGCTGATAAAAATTGTGCATGAAAATGCTGATAAACTCCTCCCACGTCATTGGTGTTGTATCATTAGGTCTCCCTAATAGAGTAGTCTTGTACCAAGAACAAACTAGATCATGAAGTCTAAAAGCAGCCAATTCCATAGCTCTATGGCTAGAGCACCCCATCACTTCAAATATTATCTCCATCTTGTCTAAAAATTGCTATGTATCCTCGGTAGCCCCTATCTCTGAAGAAAGTACGAGGCTTGAATTTAACTCTCATATTTGGCTGATCCTTTTGTACACCTTGACTTGCACTTGGCTGAGCCTTTGGTATCCTTTGACTTGTACTAGGCTGTGAACTCAGCTAAGCCTCCTATTCTCTCTAAGGTGTACTTGGTTGAACTTCCCACCTCTCTTAATTTACTAACTTCTTTACCAAGGCAATCACTGTTTGTTGAAAACTTGCCATACTTGTCAATGACGTTTGCTGGAGTTCTTAAACCCCAGCCATGACCTGAGTTAAATTGTATGTAGCAACGGGAGGTTGTGTAACACCCTTCTCTAGTACTCACCTTTTAGCCTACCTAGTAACTTTACCACGACCTCCGCCTAAACTACAAGCTTGGCCTCTAACCTTGCCACTTACTATAGGAGAAGGTAGCCTATCAAACATTGTATTAGGAACCCCATGACCCTTGGCTCCGTTAGTTCTAGAGTAAGTTCTAGGTGGTGTCTCCATCTAACAAAACAAATGTAAGGAATCAAATCATGACACTACTCTTGACAACAGAATAGTACAAAGACTGACAATCGATAGATGATCAAGTATAGCATCTCAAATGATGATCATAAAAGATATTCTAACAAGCTTTTTATAGTGCCTCGATTATGAAAATGGTGCGCTTCATAATCATAATTGCTACTCTATTGAAGTGCACTTGCACCATTAAGCACAGGAAAAGCTAGAGCTCTAATACTAACTTTGTTGCAACACAATTTTGAGGATCGTGACTAGCGTTGGGTTAGACAAGTCAACTCGAACAAGCCTAATAGAAGTAAAATGTTGAAGCTCAAAATATGTCAATAATAAGAATATAATTAAGACTAAGTGTCAAAACATTAATATAAATGGTCTCAAAATACAAAGTCACTATGAAAATGAGGATCCTACTTGTGTCTAATGGAGCACAACTAAAGTTCAAATAATAATTAAAAAAAAAAAGAACCAACAAAAACCTATCTACTTGAATTCGAAAGCAATCCCTCTAGCAATTCAATTGATTAAGATCTGGTTTGACTTTGATATCTAAAAAATGTTTGGAGGGGTGAGTCTACGACCTAGTGAGTAATAATATACATCTACGAGAGGAATAGGATAAGCTCAAGGGACAAAAAATTTCATAATTATATTTATCATTTCAAACATAAGTACAGTAAATGTTCTACATAAAACATACAAACAAAAAATGTTTCAAAATATGTTCTTTGTCCATTTTTATTTTCAGTTCTATTAACATATATCACAAATAGGTAATGTAAAATCTATTAAAACATATGTCAAAATTGTAAAGGTAGTCTTTTGTACAAAACCAAATATATCATGTCAAAATAGTCTATATCACATTTAGTCATCCAATCATGTTGGCCAGACATGATGGTCTAACGCTACCCTTGGGAACTAGGGATACTAGTTTAAGATGCATGTAGTTTAACACCTACTGTCATTAGGTATAATATTTTGATAACGGTCTCTTCTATAAGAACAAGTATTATATGTTTCAGTATTCGTATTTTTATTCTTATTCAATACATATAAAACACAATTTATCAAAACATCCTTGAGATCATATATATACAACTTATATATGCATATCATAGTTTGAAAACAAAAGTTACAAAAGTGCTTGTCCCAAAATTTGTCTTAAGCTCTAATCAATGAAGTTTTCCAAAAACATATTTTGTAAAAGTTTATTTCTGTTCAAGCGTCACAAATCCTTTTGCAAGAACGATTTGAAATTTAAAAACAAACTTTGAGAATTTAAAACATATAAAGCAAGTGTAAACATATATTATTACTCACTGCACAGGTTGAAATCGAATAATTGATCTTCAATGCTATTGACCCAACGAGGAACTTTCGATGAATATAAAATCACAAAACAATAGTAATTTCAATTTAGAACCTCAACGTAACTATGAATCAAATTTATATAAATAAACTTTTATTTAAAACCCGAGGACAAGATTTAGATTATTATATCCAATACCCACATTCAAGTCCACTAGAACTACTGGTTCCAATGGAATCACGAACCGATTCAATAAGTGTTGAATTGACTACTAAAATCCTAAACTAGCCCAATAAAGCCCTAAACTGATTTAATAAAGCAATGAACTAACCTACTAAAGCCCTGAACTGGTTAATAAAGCACTAAACTAGCCTACTAAAACCCTAAACTGGAAAATAAAGCACCGAATTGGCTCATTAAAGCCCTAAACTTAGTTAATTAAGCAACCGATTAGTAAAGTATTGAATGAATCCAATAAAGTCATGAACCAATTAAATAAAGTCTTAAGGCAATTAATAATTCCCTAAACCAGTCCTATACATTCATGAACTAGTTAAAATAAGCCCTACATTGATTAATAAGTCCTTGAACGGTCCAATACATTCATGAATCAATCAAAATAAGTCATAAACCATTTAATAAGGCTCTGAACCAATTCAATAAAACCATGAACTAGTCTAATAAAGTCCAAAACTAATAAATAAGGTGCTGAACTGGTCTAAATAAGTCATGAACCAGCCAAAAACTTAGACCCGATTCACCATTCGTTCCCCATACCCAGTTCATATTCAAATCCAGAATGTGGATTCCGATCCTATAAGCCAATCTTGTCTAAAGCCCACAAACCCAAAGCCCAATTTAGTCTAAAGGCCCAAAGTCTTATCAGCCTAGGCCCATTTTAGCCAACCTAGTCCAAGCCCACAACCCAAGCCCATGGATCTAGTTCAAGGAACTAGATCCTATACAAGCCGAGTGCCTACTCAGGTTTCTACTTCCACACTTGAAATTCCCCTTGAACCCAGAACTCCCTTTACTTGATAATGGTAGTTGATTGGCTAGCAAATCTTCCAAGTAATTTCAGTCGCTGTTAGAGCTATCCATTACGGCTGGGTTGTGATGGCCTAATTGGTTCCTGGTGGTCAATGAAAGTAGGGAAAAAGGGTGAAATCACAATCAAAGCTCGATCGGCTATGGCGAATGAAAGAAAGAGAGATTGATGAGAGTAGGGGGTTGGCTACTCGAAATTTACTTAGGGATTTTCTTCCATAGTCGCTCACAAGCATAAATATGCATATAATCGGCTGAATCTACCCTTGAGTTCCTCACAATTGGCATCAATACTTGCGTGAGATCCAAAGGTTGATGATGATGAAATTCAGGTTTGGGTAAAATTGTGATTTCGTCCCTTATGTTACTTTTCTCGTTCATTTCATTCCATGACATTTTCTATTTGTTTAGTTCAGATCTCTCAAATTTTCAATTTATTCAATTGAGTCCCCCAATTTAATTTCTTTTTATTTAATCCCAAAATTGAAGTATCACATCAACTCATGGAAAGAAATAGTAAGTTTCCAAATATAAATTTTAAAATGAGAACTTTGTTTACACTATTGTTGCTATTCTCTCTTTCTTGTTGATGTTCTGTTTCTTTATCATTCTACACTCTTATATAAAAAATAAAAAAATAAAAAAAAAAAAAAAATAAAATTGTGCAATTTTTAAATTAATTGTGATGAATATTTCACATCTATTTATATTAAATTGGTTTTGGAGATTACTACGCTTTTTTATCAATTGCTAGACTACAAGGGAAGAGAAAAGGCGAAGGAAAAGTTGACCCCAGCATCCAGCAACTACTAGCAGTATTATGTGCTCTACTGTCTCGAAATTGGACCTGTGATTTTCCTATGCTAGGATCCATTAATCTGAAAGGAGCAAAAATCAGAGAGAGCCGAAATTCGGATGGATATTCCTCAGAAATTACTCGTAGCGTGCCTTTGCCCTTTGACGTAAGCGGTGACATTGCTCCATTGAAATTCCGTCCCCCATGTAAGTTGCTCTTTACTCCACTCCACTGCCAGTCTGCCACTCCATCCCAGGCTGATCTCCATCTCTTTTGCATAGTTGTATACTCTGATGTTTATAAATATTCCCGTATAACAGTTTATTTTTATCTTATTTACATTCTTGTACGAGTGTTCGTTAGAAAATCCAGCATGGCCACATCTCAACAGTGCTTTGAGAATCCTCCAACTCTCAGCTCAGAATGCGGAGCAGGAACACTCGATGAACTTGGAGGCCTCAAAACCTATTTCACTGGACCGCAAGATTCAAGCCGCGCCATCCTCCTAATTTCTGATATTTTTGGTAACCAATCTTTCATCCTTTTCTTATACCCTATATTGAATTTTGTAGATTCTCTTGTCCTTCCTTTTATTTAAGCTCAGATTTGTCGTCTTCTCAACTGGGTATTCTCTTACGGGCAGTTTTCCTATCTGAGTCTCTGTTAACAATTTCTAATTTGTTATTCTACTGAAGAATTACAAGGATTAGAGTCTCTGTTAACAATTTCTAATTTGTTATTCTACTGAAGAATTACAAGGATTAGAACCTAAGCTTCCCTTTGTGATTTCAATAAGGCTGGAAACTTTGAATACGACAGATAAATATTGGATACATCTCTTTAACACTACTTCAATTGATGCAAAAAGAACGATTTTGGCACGAATTTTGACCCGATTAGCATCCTTTTAACTTTAACAACTTTGATAAAATTTTGACGTATTTTAGTAAGGACACAAATTTTACACAAATTAGTACATGAAGATGATAAATAAGTATAAATTGTTACTCCCATCTTCGAGTAATTGGTTCTTACAGATCCTATTTTTCACTCTCAATATGATTGGATTATGAGAGATTGGCAGAGGAAGTGGGATAATAAGACGGGATTGGGACAAAGAATTGTGTCAGGCTGTTTTCAGCTCTTTATTATTTTTTTTCATCTCTTTATTTTTGTTCAGTGTTACACAAACTAAGACATTTAAATAATTCATTTTTTGGAAATTTTTGCAGGGTATGAATCTCCGAACTTAAGGTATGTTGAAATTTGTGTTGATTGTATATGATTACGTTAATGCTTACTTCATCGTTCGATTAAAACTATGATTTAAGTTTTTTAGATATGTGGAGTCATACCAAACCTCAACTAATATGGCACTGGATTGGATATTTTCTTTCACTCTCCAGTACTATAGAAAAGGTTGATCTCGTACAAAAAAATTTCAACTAATTCTACTTGCCAATTGCAATTAAGATGAGTTTTACCATCTTTTCCACTTGCTTCAAAGGGTCAGAAGGGGACCATGACAATTCCTATTTTCATCTACTGATGTTACTAGTTTTAAATAATCCACAATTTAATTAATTAAATAAATCTGCCAAATACAGAATTGTATTGATGATTAAAACCGTAGTCCACTGTTAGAGGATGTATGCAGATTTAGCAAATTGCAAGTGAAACAAGCACACATATTAATCCATTACTTATCTGGCTTGCTGTATTTATAGAACTGTGGAGGTTAAAAGCCAACTTAATTGACATATTTGTTGGTCAGGTGAATGCAGAATATGAGGTTACAGGTCAGCCTTGTGCAGCATAAATTTAAGTGAAATTGAACCAACCCACTTTTACATTGTGTTGTTATCCGCTTGAAAGGAGATAAAATGGGTAATAAAGGTTTAGAATCTCGACAAACAGTCTCGTTGCACCTTGCATGCAAGGGATCACATGCGACATGTGTGTAAAATTTATTTTCAGCAGTGTCAGATATTTCTTTCTTCCAATATTAGAACATTCAATCCGAGAAGGAACTTGGACTGATTAAAGGAAGCTCAAAGGCCCACAAGCAGCCCTGTTTTGTAATCTACTTTAAACAAGAAATGTACGACTTACTTCATCACATATATATTGGCTTCTTTTATTTTTGAATATGAGTTTTTGCATTTTGCTACTTTTCAGGAAACATGCAGACAAAGTTGCTGCTGCTGGATTTTTAGTTGTGGTTCCTGATTTCTTCCATGGCGATCCTTTTAGACCTCAAATGGATAGGGAATCATGGAAAAAGGCCCATGACACGGTTAGTTCTTTGTTGACTTTCCAATCTTAATTATAAAAATAATGTATTTAAGTGAATAGCACCTGATTAAATTATTGAGATATCTAAGAGTGTTGAAGTTGTGTTGAATTTATATATTAGCATTGGGGGCTGTACTACCATATATTACAAAATCAAGGCAGCTTTCTATTCCAAACCCAAGGCATTGACTCCATACTGACAAATATGACATGATAGCATTTTCAACATACAAGTTGGTTATGTGCATGAGCCATATTTGATAACTTGGAAAGGGTGCAGGGATTAATGGGATAATATCTGGTGGGATAAAAATTGGTGGGACAACAGGATGGGATAATGGGGGATTGTGTAAGATGGGATAGGATAGGGATGGGTTCTTGGAGAAGGTGGGGTTGGATGAGATAACAGGGAAGGAGGTGTAACCTACCTTTCTTTTCCCCATTTGAAGACAATTATCTTCCCTCCTCTTATCCCCCTTTATCCTAGGGGAGATTGTCACCTTTTATCCCCCTTTTAATCCCAAATTCACACCTTGTCCACCTTTACAAATGACTCGGAAAATCATTTCCATGTATTTTCTTTCCCAATCCTGAGAATATGTCAAACAACGGCACAGGGAGTCTAATCCCATTGTTTATCAAATACTGGACAAGAAGGGCATGATTTCATATGCCCCTTGTCCCATTATCTAACACGGCTTGTGGTAGATGAAGCAATGGTCCAAACAGCGCCAAAAAAGGAGGAAAACTTTTTCTTGTGCATTTGTGGCTGACATGCCATTAGATGTACATTTATTCTGTTGGAATTCCATATTCAATAATACAAAAGTGAGAAAAGAATATGTGATATTTGGACAATTTAAGTATTAATGTCAGGGCCCTTTCAGGATAAAGGGTATGAAGATGCTAAAGTAGTGATTGCTGCTTTGAGAAGCAAAGGAGTGACTTCCATAGGGGCTGCCGGTTTTTGCTGGGGAGGTATGAACTAATGTATTTTACTAACTGTTCTTAGGGATTCTGCGAAACTTTGACATAGTTTTAATGGACCTTTCTATACCTACGAATTGTGGACTTAGTTGATGATTTGGGTTTTGTGTATATATATCAGGCGTGGTGGTTGTAAAATTAGCAAGGTCTGATGACATCCAGGCTGCAGTTGTACTACACCCTGGACGCATCAATGAAGATGATGTCAATGGTAAGTTTCCCACTATCAAATCCCATGACACAGACGTGGACACATACATGTACCCACTGACTCAGAAACTTCAAAATATTAGGACACATGGGGACATGGCCAAAGGATATAAATCTTTTAGTATTTGTATTCATTATTTTGTAATTAGCACATTCTTAAAATTATGCTTAAACATCAATCACCATGAAACAAAAACTATAGTATATTTAAAATATTATTTTCATTACTTTATTGCCTACATATATGTGGTAAACATTTTTAATTTTTTATTATTCTTTGAAAATATTAAGACATGTAACTCTTATTTCATACATCCAGAGACAAACATGTCCAAAATTTAAAAAATGTAATAAGGAATTAGGCATGCCATGGAGGCGTGTCTGATATATATTATAAATGGAAGTATATGACATGAAGACGTTATTTTGGACATAGATTTGTTGCAGCGAATGTCATATCTGTGTACAATATATCTTAACATATTCGTGACTGCTGACACATTTTCAGATGTCAAGATTCCGACTGCCATATTGGGCGCTGAGATTGACAATGCTTCTCCACCTGAACAACTGAAACATTTTGGGAAGATTCTCTCGGCAAAATCGGAGGTAAGGTTATTAGGATCAGTTGGTCGGCTTTTTGAAGTGACTTTGAATTGCTTTCTGAATCTTTTTAAACCAACAAAACATTCACATCTTTCTCGCCTTCAAGCCCTTCTGAATATGATTTCCCTCATCTAATTTAGTTTTCTTTTATGGAAACCTTCAATGTACAATAAGTAAAAGGTCAACCATTAAGTGAAAGTAGATGGTTAGAAATTTATGTTTATATGCCTTGCAGCATCAAACCAAAATAATAAATCTCTCTCCACTTCTTTTTACCCTATTATGCAGTTTGATAGCTATGTGAAAATATTCCCTGGTGTGTCTCATGGATGGTCAGTGAGATATAATCTCGATGATGAACAAGCCGTGAAGAGTGCTGAAGAGGCCCATGCAGACATGTTAAATTGGTTTACCAGGCATGTAAAATGAAATGGATTCAGTCATCATCCTGTATTATGATAGCTACATGCGTGTCTTTTATCTATGGTAATGAGCATTGTGACTGGACATATATATATATATATATATATATGGTTTCTTTTTCCTATATAACTATAGTATGTTAAGAGCAATTTATGTTGGTGCTTCAATTTTTTGATTTTTCTAATTTAGTCTATACAAATTTGAATTTATTAATATGACATGTATAATATTATTAATTTAATAAAAAATATTATTAAAATTTGAATTCGGATTCTTAACAGATCCGATTGCATAATTTTATATTCGATTCATTTATTTCAAATTACAAATATTTATAATTAGATATAATCTATCGAATATTTTAATTGAATTTGAATCTTCAAATTTTGATCGAATTCAAATCAGATTCAAAATGAAATTTAACTTATTAACAGTTCTATCTACAAATGTAATTCATCCCTAATCAAGTGATATTGAAGATTTTGAATGCCAAAGGCTTAGATCATTTTTTAAGGAAATTGAATTGTGATTTTTATAGAATTAAGAGGTCGGATTGAATAACGTTATAAGACATGAGGAACCAAATGCAATTTGATTTGCACTATTCATCTTTGTTGACTGAAATCTTAGTTGCTCAAAGTAGAGGCTTGCAATTGGCCATTGCTGTCAGACACCCATTGCTGGCTGCGGCTATTATGGTTGACAGTGGTGTGCCTGACAACAATAGTCAATTGCAAGCTTTCACTTTGCACAACTAGGGTTTCAAGCACAAGCAACAGTGGCTGTTCATCCCTATCTCTAATGACTTTTCAATGCGTTTGATTGTTCACTCCTTTTTCCTTCTCTCTCTATTTCTTATGGATCACACCTTACAAGAGACACGGTTTGGAATGGAAAGAGCTACAAGATCGAATATTGTCGACCTTGAAAAAGAAGGTTCATAGTCACAAGGGATCCTCATTGACCCTAAAAAATCTCTTTCAACCACAAGAGAAGATCACGGTCATTTGTACCACTTAGTAACGAGCATAGGTGGCCGGTGAGCATTGGCAACAAGGCCAAAGAGAAGTTTCGACCATCGATGGTCAAGCCAAAGATAAACAGTAGCCCATAGAGAAAAAGATGTCACGCCCCGAACCCGAGCTCGTGACCGGCACTAGGGTCCACTGACCCTGTAAGCCTCAACAAAACAGTTAAATTTCGAAGATACAAAACATACACTAAATGCAGTAATACAACATCTAAAAACTACTCAGGATCCTGTCTGAGAGTACAAGAAAGTTACTCTAAAATACAATAAAGATCAGATACAAAAGAGAATTGCCCATACATCTATCAAACCTGCTGTCGCCAACTCCCACATTGGCATGCTAAGCGAGGCGAGTACAGTCAAACGAATCTGAAATGATGATAATATGTGAGTCGCGAAACTCAATGAGTACACATAATACCTAGTCTATGCATATTGGGATATGCATCACGCCACAAGTCCAAAACCATAAATATACATACATATAGGGGTGTTCATGAAACCGAACCAAACCGATTAAACCGAGTAAACCGAACCAAACCGCGATTTGGTTTGGTTTGATTTAACTCATGGTTTGGTTCGGTTCGGTTTGAGTATAAAATTATACCTACGGTTCGGTTTACGGTTTAACCATCAAATCGAACCGAACCGCATATTTAAAATATACATACACACCTGTCGACCAGACCCCTCCTCTCTCTCATCGTTCGTTCGTTCGATCACTTCTCTCTGAACCATAACCCTAAGTTCTCTTCTCTCTCACCTTCGAATTCAATTTGCCTCTCTTTGATCCCTCGATCTCATCATCTCACAATGAAAACTCTCTGCTTTTAGCTTCGATCTGGAGCTCGCCTTTCTCTCTTCGATCCCTAATCTGGCCTCGCTTCGATCCCTCCATCCATCTCATAGTAAATTGGCTTACGCCTAAACCTCGCACAGTCTGTCTGCTTAAACCATTCTGGCTTCGATCGACGCATAACAGTGAGGAGGACTCGCGCATCGCAGGAGCAGAACACCATTCCCCCGACCTGGTATGAATAAAGTCGTCAATGCTGCAATTTTTTTTCTCATAGCTTGCTGTTTGCTGTGTTTTGTTTTCTTCTGCTGCTTGCTTGGTGATTGAAGATGACTGATATCTATGAAACTGAAATCGTGATGATCTGCTTTTTTTTTTTCAAATAACATACTGGCACTATAAATTGATGATGTACACCATATAATCCCGATTTGAAAGCTAGCAATAGTTTCGTATATCTTTGGGACCAACTTCCACTATCTTCACATATCCTGGTATTGTCCTGAGAAACTACAAATTACATTGAAAATAAGATTACATGCTCTGCAAATTGAAATGGATGGAAAAAGAACAAAAGATAGTTAAAAAAATTCAAATCATATTGAAGATTGGAATATATGGTTTTACTAATTGAAATGCAAGGAAAAAAGGGGAAAAGAACATTTGAAAAAATAAACCGATGCAAGACACTCTAGTTTTATCACTTTTAAACAAACAGCAACAAAGAAAAGATGAGTAGGTGCAAAGATAAGTTTTGATACCTAACTGCACGTTTTAACCAAAAGAACTTTTAATGGTTGGTGGTCATCTTACAAGGAGAGGAAACAAGTTAGAAATGCCAATAAAAGTGAGAAAGCAATACATAATTCCTCTGCATTATAATGCTCAACACTTAAAAAACTAGTAAGAACTTACAAGACTATCTTCGGACTAGAGACCCATTATATAAATGTAATCTCCCAGCAAATAGAGACACTACTTGTACATGCTAAAAACCTTATTGACAAAATAAACCTTCCAAAATTACTAGATCTATTTTGTAAATACACAGAATCAATCATTTCAACCACCAAATTCCCAAGTCATGTACAAATAGATTAGAGAGTTATTTGAAATGAGCCAGTCATCAGTTTCATGGGATTGTTAGAAAATCTTATAATCATCCAAAGATGTCAACGTAGTAATAATAGGTTTGAAGAAAATATGCAAACAGCATAAGTCACAACCTTATTTGTTACTCCACTTCTGCAACCATCATCACATTGTGAGCTATAATAACGATTTAACTTATGTAAAGCACCCGAGAGAGTTTCTATCACTCAATCTGCTTGACATATGAAATGCCTCTGATGTAGGCTCATTATTTGGCTTTTCCATTCAAATGGCTCTCTTGAATTATCTTTGTTGCAAAAGATGAACCCTGGACTTAAATTAAATGGAAATCAAATGGAGATATGTCAAGGCTCAAACTACATGGGAATACAGGAACACTTTTCAAAGATGGATTTTATTGGTTCACACATAGCCATAAGTAATTAAAAATTAGAAAAACACTAGCTTATTTGTTTGCTATCAAGCAAATTGCATTAATATGTATCTTTGAAGAAAAGTGCACACTTTTGCCACTTGTGGACAAATAAATCTTAGAGATTGATTGCATCTATGTTTTTGGATTGTTACAAAGCCTAGTAGTTGTTCTGCCTAGATGCTTAAATAAAAGATGGATGAGGAAATTTATTAAAGATTGTATTTTGCTTCTAGTAGTAAATTAGATACCAGATTCTTTCAAGAGGCTTCTGACAACACCTCTACTTGCCAGTCATTATGACATGACCAATATTTGGAGGCAAACTAATTGTTCATTTGACTGAAAATAGAAAAACACTTTACAAATGAGAGAATTGGCATGTCCTCGTTTTCCTTTACTGTTTTCATTCTTGTTTACTGAGAAATTGGGATATTATCTGTTGTTATTTTCAGTAGAAAAGGATTTCCATCAGTACTAGGAAGGAATTTTCAACTTTCTTGTTGTTCCTATTAGTCCTTTTGACTGTTGTAATTCTGAAATTCTGCTTGAAATGGTTTAGCTTATTCAAATTTTTACGTGTATTAGATGGAACAACAAGAAAGTTGCACTCCTCGTGAAGTTGAAACTGAAACTGAGAGTATTAATGCATAAATGGATGTTGGTATCGACCATTCTATAGAAATTAATACAAATAAGCCTAAAAGAGATGGCTCTGAGGCATAGATGCATTTTAGTAGAACTCCTGTCCTTAATGGCAAACCAACAAGATGTACTTGCAATTATTGTGGTAAAGATTACTCATGTCTTCTAGGAGCGGGAACTAGTACTAAGTGGATACATTTACATAAGCAATGTAAAAGATCCCCTTTATATAAGCATCAAATGGAGAAAGGCCAATTAATTATTAATTTTAAAAGAAAGGCCACTGATGATAGAAAATTGACAAATGATCCAATGTTTGATAACAAAAGTTGTAGGAAGACCTTGAGTAGAATGATTATTTTAGATGAACTTCCATTTCAATTTGTGGAAAAACCAGGTTTTAGAATGTTTTGTGAGCAAGTTATTCCTAAGTTTCAAATTCCTTCTCGCACAACTGCTGGTAGAGATTGTTATGCATTATATTTAGAAGAAAAGGCTAAATTGAAGGAATTGTTGTCAAAGCTTTCCCAAAAAGTTTCCTTAACAACTGATACATGGACATCTATTCAAAATCTTACTTACATGTGCCCACAACTCACTTTATAGATGAAGATTGGAGCTACCAAAAAAGGATAATTAACTTTTGTCAACTTCCAAACCACAAAGGGGAAACAATTGGCAAAGTCATTGAGGAATGCTTGTTTGAATGGAAAATAGAGAATGTCTTTTCTGTAACTGTGGACAATGCTAACTCCAATGATATAGCTATTGCATTTTTGAAGAAAAAGATTAAATATTGGAAAAAAGATGTCTTAGATAGGAAGTATATTCACTTCAGATGTTGTGCTCACATCCTTAATTTAATTGTTAGTGATGGATTAAAAGATCTTCATGATTCCATTTCTAGTATTCATAATGCTGTGAGGTATGTAAGATCTTCTCTTTCAAGATTGGTTAAATTTAAAGATTATGCTAAGCGAGAGAAGTTATCTACTAGTGGACTTGTGTCTCTTGATGTCCCTACTAGGTGGAATTCCACCTATTTAATGCTAGAATCAGCTATAAAATTTCAACGTGCATTTGAAAGATTGTAAGATGAGATGGTCACTATTTGGCATATTTTTTTGGATGATGCAAAGAAGATAGGACCACCTAAAAAAGAAGATTGGGATAATGCTTCTGTTTTTATGAAATTCTTAGGTGTGTTCTCTGAGATTACTTTGAGATTATTCTGGATAATACTAGTAATGCTTTTTTCCATGAGTTGGCCTTGCTTCAATCTGAATTGTATGGATCATATGATATAGAAGATAGCATTTTACGTAACATGATACAAAATATGAGAGCAAAGTTTGACAAATATTGGGGAAAACCTGAAAACATCATTCAACTTTTGTTTGTTGCTATTGTGCTTGATCTCCGATATAAAATGGACTTTTTGACATGGAATTTTGAGAATATGTATGGTGTTGATCAAGTTATCACATTGTGTGCAATGGTGAAGGATGTTGTGAATTCTTTATTTCAAGAGTACAAGATGAAATATGG